CATTTGTCCAAAAAATAAATTACAAAAAAACTTTATTGCCGGTGGCAAAATTCACTCAACACAACAACTTAAAATTAAAAAAATTACCTGCATTTGACAAACTAAGGGCTGAAACAATCACAGAAATAGCTACTAAAGATGTGAGGTCGTTATGTAAAGCAGATCAAAAAATAGAAATAGGCAACTATAAACCAATTTCACTTATATCGAATGTTGGGAAAATTTTTGAAAAAGCGACCAAAGAGAGAGTAGTGGGATTGGTAGAGAGTACAAAAGTTCGGTTTCCAGAAACACAAACACAAACACTGCCTTAGATTACGCACATTTATAATGCACTAGATATCAAGTGCAAGTGCAAGTGCTTTAAGTATAATAAACTGACTTTAAACAACACTAAGACAAAATTTATTCCTTTTGCATCGTACTCTAATACTCTGTGGCACACTTTGAAACCATCAAACTGGAGCAAAACAATGAAATTCTGAAGACTGATTCTGCACAATATTTGGGCATAATTATTGATAGTCGTCTAAGGTGGGACAAACATATTAAACATTTAGCTAATGGAACAAAATTTCTAATTACTAGATTTTTTCGTCTTAAAAATTAGTTAAATATTCATTTTCTTAAATAAGTTTACTAAGCCCTCTTTAAATCGCAAATAAATTACGGTATTGTGGTTTGGGGAGTAGTAAGAAACTGTTATTTGGAAGAAGTACTCGTTTTTGCAAAAGTGGGTTCTAAAATTAATATTTAATATAAATCGGTTATACTCTACTCACATTTTATATAATGAAACCAAAATTCTAGACACCTATCAACTTCAGTAGTGTGCTGTTATCCATTAAAACAAACAAAAATTAAGCAAAGAGCATTTATGTTTCTAGACCCAAGGTTTTTCAACTACTTACCCAAAAAACTTAAAGACTCTGTATAGGATAAACATTTCAAACTTGAGCTAAAGAAATTTTTGATAATTACAGTCAGATTCATAGTCTATTACTGTAAATTACACCATCAAGTCAAGATGTGTATTTACAATATCTTATGAAGCATTTTGTGGCCTACTAAGAGACACATCTTTTTTGTCAAGTTATATTACAGTACTAATATTTTGCAGAAATGCAATATATATTTTTCAATTATATTATATTTTGTATATATACACCGACTTAGTTTGATAAAATCGATTTTAGTCACGAGTTAAATTTGGCACGAGGGGAGCTAAGCGGAATCAGTGCTTAATAATAACTAAACAAGTTTTTTTTACCACCCACGTTCGATATTGATCGGAAAATACTTGTTTGATCCCTATTTTAGTTATAATAAAAGTGTTTGTAAATCAATTTGAGTTCATTTTGGGATTATGAGCAACACTGTGCTGATAATTTGCTATAAATCTCATACAACAGTTACGGTTCGGTTCAATCTATGATAGAAGTTTTCGTCCTTAATGTGGAGGAAACCACTACCAAAAATTAAACTGGAGAGACTGCAGAATGGCTAATTAAAACTTGTGTTTCATGTACTTTTTTTGTAAATTCTCCACTAGGTTAGTTTTGGTTAGTTATTGAATAATTGATCTCACCTCAGGATATTCGCAAAACATAAATAAAATGAAAACCTAAAATGGTTGCCCGAATAGACAATATCCCCAATTTAAATGTAAAAGTTTTTCTAAGTGCATCTACTAACCCTGACTGTATTACTCAGTATATCTCGGAAGTTTTGGACAAAAACCAATATATCGAGATGTTATATACACAGATATCCACAATGACAAATTACTAGGTAAGTTGCAGAACATTATAATTTCGAATGATTTATTGATTTCAATAATGTCGACTCTACAGTTGAATATATACTTTTAAAATTTTTGTTGCCTCAACAGGAGTATTTTCATGAACGATTTATCCATTTGTTGTTGTTTGCCGATAACCTAAAGATATTTATAAACATCAACAAACAAACTGATTACACATTACAAAACGCTTTGCTCATAGTAAATCAATGGGGCTCTGTGAACTCTCTGAGATTTAACGTTTCTCGTTTTAATGAAATAATGGTCCCATATTCCTTGACTATACACTCAACAGTGTACTCTTGGAGAGTGGTGATACATTCAGAGACGTGGATATTGTGTTGGACACATACCAAGAATAAGGGCTTTTGAACTGTTGTTTACACAACTTTTCTAAGGAGTAAACTGGAATATTTATCGGTAATATGGCATTTACGGAAATCATACTTCTGGTATGGAGAGTGTCCAATGTTGATGCTTCAAGTTGCATGGATGTTATCCTTCAAGGGGATTAGATCAAATTTTGTTATTCCAACTGTTTGACTGTGGCCACGCTGTATAACCTTGTCAACAATGTTTAATAACGGTTAGATCAGCAATTTATCAAATGTGTCTAGAACATTGTACATTGTTGTTTCTAAAAGTCAAGATAATTTAGTTTTCGCTTTTTTTATTATTACTATGAACAGTTTTAGTTTTTGAACATGTATTAGGTGTATTTATAAGTCCGGCGAAACACTTTTCTCATATTTGAGCTTATTAAACGCTGTGTTGTACTTATCGCTGTTATTATTCCGTCCCACCGAAAGATCCTGAGGCACTTTATACGAAATTTCTGGGTCACTTTTTCTAGAATACCAGGTAGAAAGCGTTTTAAGAGAATTTTTTAAATGTACCCTTGGGCCATGAGATTCATTCATTAAATTATATGATGTCATTTCAAAAACACCCTTTATAAGCAAATTCGTCCGCTTCATCCAGCCATTCCGTTATGCTGCGAATATTTGGGTTAAATTCTCCCACAATGTTTTTTATTTTTAATTATAGACATATGAATTAATTTGTCTTAGTAACGAATAAAGTGACTCACTCTGTATATTATCACCCAGAATTTCCATTTCGAGAAAGCCCTACCTCGGGAGTTGTTTTAGTTAACCTCATTGTTTCCTGCGATTTTTCTCTTATAAATATCCAAATCACGACTGCAGCAGTTACATATTTTTGAATAATGAATAATAAAGTACGAAGCTGAAATTTTATCCGCCCGGTTTTATACAAGTTTTGATAAGGTAGGCGTATTGGTCTAATTCATTAAGCGTTTTCATACGGCCGCGGATGGCCGAAACCGCATACTAATCCGGCGATAGAAATTCTACATGTAGACTAAACGTGTTTATTTTATGACGGAGTCGTGCGGTAGGACCGTTCTTCCGCAATTTAAGACGTACAATTTATATATTTCGCAATTACGGCGCGAAATTACAGCGACCCAAAGTATTTTTGGATTTAGATATTCAAATTCGCGAATTGCGTTACACGTCCGCTTTGATAATTCAATTTAACGTAAAACAATTTGGCCTCACTGCGCGCGTGCTTCAAACCAAACGTAAAATTTTTAAGAGGGTGATTCGTTGTTCAAAATAAAGGGTACTTTGTTATATGAGGGTTGGGTCAAAATCGCACAACAAATATGTCTGAAAAATAAGGTTTTTATTTTTTATCTTGAAAAAGAAAATAGAACAATAAAATATTACAGAAGTATTACTATTATAAAAACTCAAGTAATTGAATTAGACTACCCCAATCCCGCAATTTTTTCAACAAACTTACGCCTGAATGTCTAAATTTCTTAAAAAACCGTTATTTACTTAATTCAATAATGACCTCTGATTATTACTATCACTATTATTATATGTTATTCTCATTAATGTTTGCAAGCTAAGTTTATAGCTTTTTTTTCTCCTCTATTACTGTAATACTCTGTAATCAGTTGGTTAATTAATTAATCATAAAGTTTGTTTGCCTTATTTTTCCCTCCATCTACGTATGTCAATTTCCAAATAAAAAAAGACGACAAACTTCCAAGAAATTTCCGTTTGCACGCCAGTGTGCATCAAGCAATGAAATAATTTGAGATATGCCGAAAATACTGTATTATCAGCAAGTACCCTTCAAGATCTACAAGTACTACTAAACAAAATAAATGACAAATGTGGCGAATATTACTTAGCAAAGAAAAAAACAATGTCGAACAAATTTACGTTAGTAGATAGTAGAACGGGTCGAAAAGAACAAATACCTCATCAATATTATTAGTAAAGTCTGTTTCCAAGAAATAAGGATCGGAATAGAGAAAACGAGATCTAAGTTGATGAAAATGAAGAAAATATTTTGCACAAGAGGTATTACTTGAAAATGTTCGTACTGTTCGTATTGCCCTACGAATAGAGGCATGGACCGTGAGAAAAGAAGATAACCTTCGAATGCTGAACATGTCGGATAATTTTGAAAATCAGCTGACTAGAAAGAATAACAAATAATAAATAAAAAGAAAAAAATCTACCAATTAAAAACTATAATTACCATATCTGAAACATTTTTTGAGGGGGTCAAAATACCGTTTACTACAGATAATAATACAAGGAAAGATCCAAGGAAGAAGTGTCGGAAGGAGATGCCATTCGTGGTGGCAGAATCTGCTTAAGTGGTTTGGATCGACAAATAAATTATTTAGATCACCTGTTTGAAAAATACGTATAGCTCTGATGATTGCCAAACTTCGCAACGAAGAGGGCACCTGAAGAAGAACACATAGCCTATTTCAACAACTACTTACTTTTCTTTAATAATTGTTATGTCTTTAATAAAAAAAATGTTTCAATTTATGGCGATTCCTCTCTCGAAATTTGCATAGATTAGCCCAACTAGCGACCATAATATTAACGGATGAGACTTTCATCGCGTCCAAGCAGAATATCTTCGGGTTCTGCGTTTATTTTTTGTATATTTACATCAATTTTAAAATTATATTTTGTGCACTTTGAACATATTTATTGTAAAGTAGTAAGTAACCATACGCGAAGCCCCGCCACTGGTACGCCGCCCATTTTAATTTCGACAGAATTTATTTTCTTCGGGGCACATCATTCGAAAAAGACCCTGTCGCCAGGCATTAACGAGTCCTCCTGTTTTGTTTCAGGAACAAAAGTACGACGGGATGTAACCGGCAGCTATAGCGTTCCACTATGGATGTTCGATGGTCGTCCGACTTCATTTTTCGTGTCGCCTTAATCCTCTTCTCGCTTCACTTGACGTCCACTTTTAAACAGCAAGGTAGGGCAGTTCAGCCGGATTTTTCTTTCGAACGTGTAGAGGATGTTCCAAATTCGAGTATTATTATTGTAACTGTCAGGCCATTAAGGATCACAAAGTGTCATGTTACTTTTGCATAGATGCCACTTATAATAAATATTGCAAGTATGTCACAAAATAAGTTTTTATAATTTGTTTCTTAATACAAATTTCCAATAACAAGGACAACCTTAAAGGTTATATCGTAAAGTAAAAATATAGAAAGACGAGTTTGGTTGATGAAAGTAATGTGACAGCGGCATTACTAAGCTACTTTATTAGAACATTAAATTAAATAATAAATAATAATAAGATCAAATAATTGAAAACTAATAAATATTATTATTTAAAAAGGTCTATAATTTCCAATACAACTTGGTTTGCAAATTGTAGTCGTTATTTTCCGGTTAGTCAGATGAAATATAGTTGTTGGAGTCCATTGAAATAAAAAGTCGTTCCACAACGTTTCCTAACATATTATCAGCTTGTCACAATTCTTTTATCTTTCTTTAGTCCTTCTTGCAAGATTGTTTTAACTAGTTTTTAAAAACACGAGCAATCAAAATCTTCTTGATAGTCTCCAGTCCGTATGGGTTAGTTTTGGTCAGTCATGTTCGAACATATTTACAACAATTACAAGAAAGAACTATAATTCTAGTTTTAAAAACTAAGGCTCAGGGACCTGTCTGTCAACCTGGCACTCTCGGGCTCAAGACAATCGTCAAAGGTGCAAACCACGCCTATGGAATACTTCTAAAATAACGAAACAGTGCATGTTCAAATGTATGTTTACGTTTTGTCTTGACTATTTCTTCTGCTCGCAATGAAAATGTTTATTATAAATAATGCCAATGTGAATATACAAGAAAAGTATATGTTATTTTGGCTCTTATTTTTTAAATTAGTGGATTAGAACAATGCTTCTTAATGACGAGTGTTGAGGATAAATTGAAAGAGTCTCTTCTGAGTTTACCACCATGTTTGCAAAAGGAAAATAATTAAATCTCGCTTATATTTAAAAAAATGTTTTAATAACTAAAATAAAAAATCGATAATTGAAAACCACATGCATAATGCCTGTATATGGACAATTAATTCAAAATGTGTTTGGTTGTCGAAGATATCGGCCCGCAATTAGCTCGTACGGCATGTTCCTGGATTTTCACGATAAATGGACGTTGGCTATCACGATCTCGTCATACTGATTATGTCAATTTTCCGGTATCGCATCGAACCCCTCGATAATTCGATTTTGCGCAGAACATCGGACATAGTTTTAACGAGACTGGCGCGGGACATGAAATAGGGGTGTTCAAAATATTCGAACGCGAAGGATATATGGTCATAGGGACTGTACAGTGTGTCAATTTTTCGATGGTTTTAAGGGATATCGCGCTTATTATTAACTATACTTTTTTGAGATATTATAGGATTACATACCAGTATAAACTTATTTTCAATTACTTCAATAAAATAATAAAGCATAATATACATACAAACATTTTTTACGGAATTTCATCTAAGTTATAAATTCTCCTTGAACTTGACTTTTGATGAAAAACAAAAGTATAAAGAAATTCATAGTCGCTCTATGTAAAAACAGATTGTGCGTTACACGATGAAATAATATTCAGGCTAAAACAAACAACTTTTGCATTTAATTTTAGATTTTTGAAAAAATAAATCCTAAATAGTCCTACAGTAACTGAATATCTTTGTAATTGGAAAATTGAAATTAAACTGAAAGGAAAAGAAATTGGTGGATTTTTGTTTATATTCATTTGATAATATCCAAAGACATGGTTTCAAAGCGATTTATATTACATATCATTTTTGTCTGTGTAAGGAATAAGTCCCATCGAAATTGGTTCATCTTGTCCATCATCTTATCCGCTTTAAAGGCAATTCGATTGAAGTAAGGGGACTGAGACCTAATTACAGCTGTTATAAGACCGTTCGCAATATTACTCATGATATTTTTAAGTCCTGACAACTGCAGGTTGACTGTGTTTAATACAATTAATCACCCGTTGCTTTTATCGATTTTGAATTATATTTGATTGAATGTGCCTGCACGAAGGCTTATTAAAAATAACCTTATCAACTGTGAGCAGGCGGTGGATTTTGGTCGTAGAATGTTAAATTCTTTTCTGGAATTCCTCAGGCTTCAATTTTGGTGCCTGTATTCATATATCAGATGATGTAGATGATATACAGACATATCTCTCATTTATAAACGACATACAAACTACAAACTACTGCAATAGTTTTTTAGATAGTAGGTAAACCAATTCACTTTAAAGTTAAAATAAAAAATGTAGGGTTGTTAATTGATTCCGAGTTCAAAAAGAGTACATGAATTTAAAATTAATCTTTCAGCGGTAGCCGCCTCAAATGGTTACTTTACGTGTACTTAGGTTTCATTAGTCTTATCTCTAATGACATGTTGTGATATTGTCTGTAGGGTCTAATTAACAACCCATGATAAGTACAGAATATAAAAGCTACAAAATTCTTTCCTACGCTTGATCTAAGGCATTCGTAAATTTCAATATACGGTTAAATATGCAAAATAGGCGTTTTTTACATTTTGCTTCTACCTTTCTTAATGCAATTGCACTGAAGACGACACATTATCTGTATAATAGAATCAGTTATCAGTTTTAGGACTGACGTACGCAATATCAATATTAGGCTTAAAGGTATTCTTACGCCTCCAGCTCACTTGATGGAAATTTTCTAGCGTTCCTAATCTTATTGCGTGCCAAAAGTAAATAATAATCCTCTTATTTGAACTATTGGTGTAGAGCTTAATATATATCATGCTGTATCAATTGCTTTTACTATTTTCTACTAAATTGTGTGAATGCTTTAAAATTATTGTCACAAGATATGTTTAATTTATTTTCCTGTATATTTCCTTTTTCTGTATAGTCCTGCAATGATGAACTGATCTATGCCTGAATGTCTAAATTTCTTATAAAAGGGTTATTTACTTAATTCGATAATGGCCTCTTATTATTAGTATTATATGTTTTTCTCATTAATGTTAATGTTAATTTTTGCAAGCTAAGTTTATAGCTTTTTTTATTTAATTTTTTGTTGTAATATGCTTTGTTTCTCCACTATTACTGTAATATTCTGTAATCAGTTGGTTAATTAATCTACGTATGTCTTTTATACTATCAAGATTACTATAAAATGTTCGTAATCGAAATTATTAAAAATTAAATTCTCGCTGAAAAACCAATCGCACAGTGCGATATTCGCGAGCAGCACAAACTAGCGGGGGTAAAGATTGTCGCCGAAATCACAACGTCCGCCATTTCGGAATGAGGTGCAGCATAAAGGAATTATTATTCGCGATTCCTGTAAACCCAGACTCCGAGCCTTTTGTTGTCCAAATTGAATATCATTCCGCTGAATCGAACGTGTTGCTTCGGGATACCGCACTAATTGTTCCAATTATTTTGGCTACGCGGAACAGCACAACCTTAAACTATTGTGAAAGAAGAATGATTTTGAGTTATCATTTTCGAATTAGTTGTTTCTCTGTTGTCCAAAATAAATCCGTTTTTTAAAAATGTAATCAGCGTCTAAAATATCGTATAGGTTATGTAACATTTATACTCTACACAGGGATTCATAACGAACTGGAGATACTAAACCCTCAGCTCAACATAATAAATATTGGCAGTGGGTTTTCAGACATGACAATTAAGAATTTAAAGCTTATTTGTGGACAACTGTCGTCGTTTCTCGCTTCTCACTTTCCATAAATCGCGATTTCACAAGATTGCTTCCATTGACTACTTTGTTCCATGGCCTGCATTACATAACTTCTCCAGGCTCTTGGCGCTCTTCCAAACATTTTTGGCCACTGGTTTGGGTTCATTCTTTCGAGATGACCGTACCATGTTCGTTTTCTGGATTCTATAGAGTCTGATTCTTACTACTTCGTTTCTAACCAGTTTGAATATTCTATTACTCCTTCTCCAAAACCAGCAGTTGTCTCTCTTGCTTTATTCTCAGGTTTCTGAACCATAGGCAGTTATTCTTTCTACTGGAGTATAGAATATTATTTTTTTTTCCTTTTTTGTAATTTCCCGCTTTATTTTAAATCTCTAGAGCGCTTTTACCACTTGGGGAAAGGGTTACGCCAAGACATTTGAAAAAAGGCCAGTCTTTTTTCACATAGTGACTCAGGACTAGGTGCTCCGCCAGTTCATCCTCTATTGCCATATACTCTGTTATTTTTGGGTTTATTGTAAGTGACCAGTTTTCACTTTCTTGTTGGAGTTTGCGCAGCATGTAGCTCGAGTCATTTTTATCTCTAGCTATGAGTACCTGGTCGTCGACAAAAAGGAGGCTGAATAATATGTCTTCCCCTATTGGTAAGCTAATGCCACTACATTTTCTCTTCCAAAGAGCGCTTTCAATATAAATTTTAAACAGTAAAGGAGCAATAGAACAACCTTGCCAACCTTTTGTTGTTGGGAATCTTTTGAAAGTTTTTTGGCCTTGCTTGACTAAACTATAGGAACAGCACTTTAATAGCGTTTATATATGTTTCGCTTATCCCATTTTGACGCATTGCTGACCACAACGTACTTAGTGGCATCGTGTTATAAACTTTCCGTAAATCTACGAGTCAGCTGAACTTATGTCCTTTATCATCTACCCTTTGTTCAATGAAATATTTAAGTTTGAATATGCCGTCTATACAGGATCGTCCCGTTCGGAATCCATTTTCCTCCATTGAATCGCTATTCGATTTTCGATAACTCCACCGTACAGTCTGGCTACTGAGTTCGTGGCGATGATCACTCTATAGTTTTTATAATCCAGTCTGCTGTCTTTTTTAAAAATGGATGATATCAGTTTTTCACTCCAGTCCAATGGCGAATGTTTTGTTTACAAAATTTTGGTGAAAATTGCAGAAAGAATCTTTATGAGTTTCGAAGGAGCAGCTTTTAATAGCC